TTCCTACAGGTCGCAGGTTCAAGTCTACGGGTTGACACTGATACTGTACACAGGTAAGACGGGGATCTAGGGATCGAGCCCTGGGATCTGCATTCGCTACCGCGAACTGGTGAATACCGTTTCACTCCCGCCGGCCTAAATTCGAGGTCCTCTGAGAAAATTTCAGTCCAAGGCAGGACCTTTACCTTTCTGGTGTCTTTCGTGAACCTTGTATTGTTTCTGTGGGCGACCCCTACCTCCAGTTCTGAAGACATCTTCAGCCACTATACCATCTATGTCATATCTTCCATCCATATCAGGTGGGATCATTGATCTACGGGAAGGAAACTGATCGCTTGTTTGACAAGGTAGCAACTTCGATGCGTGGAAAACTGGATACGTGTGGAGGTGTGCTGGTAGTTCTATTGTGTAGGACGGTCCATCTTCGCCGCCCTTGACTTCCAGAACAGGCCACGGTCCTCTATATGTGGGCAGTAACTTCTGCGAGATGTTCTCCTTCGGCGCAAACTCTTTAGAACTAACCCAGACTAAGTCGCCTACTTAAAACTGCGAAGGGCGACGATGTTTGTTCGCTTGCTCTATCATCCTATGCTGGGCTTTTCTGAGGTTCTCTACGACAGTAGCTAGTTCTTTCTCGTGCTGCACAGCAAACTCCCTGGTCCCGGGTGGTAATCTGTGAATCTGATCCCGGTTGAGTCCCTCAAACGGTCTGCGCGGTCTAAAGGACTTGTGCAGTTCGTTGGGAGTGCGACATGTAGACAGATGCACGCTGTTATTGTACACACTAGCTACTTTGGGCAACATCTCATCCCAGTTAATCTGGTCTGGTCTAATGTACATGCGCAGAACTTGCTGTAGGATTTTGTTCATTTGCTCTGTCTGACCGTTAGTCTCTAGATGGCGGCCGGACGACATCAACAACTTAGATCCATATACTCCCATGAGTTCTTGCCAGTTCTGGCTGGTGAAGCGATTATCTCTATCGCTAACTATCGACAGCGGGATTCCATTCTCACTAACCCAACAGTCAAARAACCTCTGTATGACTAAATCAGTACGCGCCTCGGAAGGCAAAGGAATAAAAACTGCGTACTTACTAAAACGGTCAACTATGACCATGACTTGGCTCTTGCCATGCCTACTCTTGACTTGAGTGTCCATAAAGTCTATGGACACTGAGTCTCCCGGCTGATCCGGAATGGGCAAGGGTTTGAGAAGACCTAGCGGGGCGCGTGTAGAACTCTTGTTACGCTGGCAGACTTTGCAAGTGCGAACATACTCTACGCAGTCATTCTTCATTCCTGGCCAGGTATACGCGCGCATTAGATTGGCTAAAGTTTTTTGCCAACCAAAATGACCCTCTGTGTCATGGCACTCGCCCAAAATCAGACTACGAATCTCTTCGTTATTGGGGATGCACAACCGGTCAAAGACATTAGTCTTCTCGAAGAGTAACCCTCCAGTAGTGCGGTMGTTCGGCTCGGTCTCTGGGGCCTCCTTGACTCGCGTGAGGAGCTCACTATAGATAGGGTCCTGCGCGTAGGCTTCTCTAACCTTCTGCTGCAGATCCTTTCCTAWATCGAGGTAATGTACTATTGCCCCAAAGTAATCTGCTCTCCTACTCAGAGCATCCGCGACTACGTTGTCCTTCCCTTTGACAGGCTTGAGCTCGAAGTCGTACTGATCTATCTCTGCGGCCCACCTAGTAAGCTTAGGTGTCATCTTGGCCTGSGTCTTTAACCATCGTAACGTTTCATGGTCCGAATAGACTTTGAAGTGCCTCCCAGGCAAGTAGTGCTTCCAGTGGTCTAATGCTTGCTTGAGAGCGTAGAGTTCCCTCTCATAGGTAGATGTCGCAACCTTCTCTGAAGGCATCCTAGCGGACATGAACTCTACGGGTCTATAGCCATTGCCATCGTCTTGCTGTAACACTGCACCTATGCCGTACTGGCTAGTATCCGTAGTAACAACAAAAGGCAAGGACGGATCGGCGACCTTAAGGACCGGRTACTCTCTCAACGCCTGCTTTAGCTTCTTCATGGCGGACGTGCAGTCCTTGTCCCACTTCCAAATTGTCTCTTTTCTCAACAATCTGCGAAGGGGCGCAGCGATGGTGGAGAAGGTCCTTACGAACTTCCTGTAGTAATTCGCTAAGCCCAGGAACGAGCGCAACTCTGTCAGCGTACGTGGCGTGGGCCAGTCTCTAATCGCTACGATCTTGCTATCTTCTGGCTTAACGCCGTCTCCGTCTAAGACGTGGCCTAGGTACAGAACTTGGGTCTTTGCCCAATCGCACTTCTTTGCATTGATCTTGAAGTTAGCTTCCTAAACTTCTCCAAGACCTGCCTGAGATGACCCTGATGCTCTTCGAGGGTCCTGCTAAACACTAGAATGTCATCTAGATAAACTACAACGAATCTGTTTAACCACGGCCTAAACAAATCATTCATACACCGCTGAAAAGTTGATGGCGCATTGGTTAGTCCAAAGGGCATCACTATGAACTCATAATGCCCGTACCTAGTCCAGAAGGCTGTCTTATACTGATCATCAGGGTGTACCTCTATCTGATGATATCCGGACTTTAAATCTATCTTAGAGAAATACTTAGCCCCCTGCACTCGATCTAAAAGATCGTCTATCCTTGGCAGTGGCTCAGCATTCTTCACTGTAATCGCATTCAGACCCCTATAGTCTATGCACATTCTCAGCTCTCCCTCTTTCTTAGGAACAAAGAGGACAGGTGCTCCGAAAGGAGACGAACTGGGCGTAATCAAACCCTTCTCGAGGAGCTCGTCTAACTGTTTCCGCAACTCCTTTAACTCCCGCGGGGACATCCTATACACTGCACCCTTAGGAGTTCTACTGCCAGGCTCTATCTCAATACGGTGTTGGATGGACCGCGGCACCGTGTCTGTCGGCGGCTCGGTCAAATCCTTAAACTCTTCCAGCAGCTTGGCAATCGCGCGGTCCATCGTCTTCTCCTCCGTAGGCTCAGTCACTGGCCTAACATAGGCAACAAAGACCTGTTCCTCCTATCCCTCCTTCTTCACCAGTCTGGCGAACGCGGGGGCACTAAGGCAGCAGTGCGCCAAGGAATTCTCTACCCCTGACACATGAAACAGGCGGGTAGTCTTGGCCTCGCCTGACGAACTAAAGAGCCTACACTCGTGCTCTTTCAAATGGAGCGTGGCCCCGGCTGCCTCTCCCCAATCCATTCCTAGGACAATGTCAAATGGGAGGCTGTCCTCTACGAGGAGAGTCAGGGAGTGGAGGACCTTCTCCACTTTCCCATCTTTCTCTAGGCGGAAATACGCCTGGACTCCCTCTACGTAATCCTCTACAATCATAGTACGATTGTCCGCGAGGATACTAACTATGGGGTCTGTCAGTTTCTGAACTTTAAGTCCCAGCCTCAACTTCTGCAGCGCTTTCCTACTAATATAGCTGCGAGTGGCCCCTGAGTCTACTAGGGCCCCTACTCTACTTCTAAAAATCTCTGTATCTAGTAATATAAGCTGCCCTTTGTTCTTCTTCTTCATCTTGGCCTAGGCGGGCATCCTCTCCTTCAACTCTTCGGCCACGCCTGTGAGGGAGGTGTCTAGCGAAACTCTAACACAAGCAGTTTCGGGACAGCTGTCTAGACAACGGCCTGCAACCTCTGCCGTAGGCACATGTGGTGTAGGAGTTTCCTGCCGGCTAGCGCTATTTTCCCCACATGGCCTAGTTGTAGGGGCAGTTGCTACCCCTACCGGCGGCTGCCTTTTGGCTCTTGAGCAGCCGTTCGGGTCTCTCGATACTAAGGACAATATTTGATGACATGCCCCGGGTCACCGAAGAAAATGCACTGGCCCCGGTTCAATCGTTGTTGCCATAAAGCCTGGTCCAGACCCAAAGATTCCCACGGCCTACCCTGAGGTAGCCCTGGGTGCCATCCTCCTACTCTATAGGGAGACCTGTTCCTAGGACGGTTTTGCGGGGGTCCTTGATCCCTACCTCCCGCTTGGCGGTTCCCTCCTCTGCCGCCAACCCCCTGATCGCCCTGGAACCGGCTCCCTGAGGCCCGGCCCCCTTGGCCCTGGCCTTGTCCTCCTTGCGGCCTCCCTCCGGCTGCGACAGTAGCGTAGGATCTTCCCTGGCCCACACCGCTGTCCGCCTCCTCTGGCCCCCACTCAATCTGATCGTAGGGAATCTCATCCACACTACCCTCATCTAAAGTCAGGACAAGGCTATCCTTGGTTTTTACCTGCCCTGAGATAGTGCGGCCTTTCCATTGCTTTCCCTTGTCCAAATCCTTATGCCAGAAGGTAGACAGGGACACTGACTTCGCTTCAAAAGCCACCACCTCACGACTAAGGGAATCGTAAGTGGTGGCAGGGTCTTCGCTCTTCGCGAAGAACTGCCCTCGAAAGGCTTCGAGCATAGCCCGGTAAAAGAGGTTGACCAACTGGCCCTCTGTGACCTCATGGTCAGGGACGGCCACCAACTCATCCATTGTACCCTTGAGTGCCCTGGCACTCTTCCATTTACGAGAATGGATGGTTTGGAGCTTGTCTGAGGCCTTGACACTGCGAGCGACATCAGCAAATCGCTCACGCAGCAACTTCAGGAATTTGGTGAGGGATGTAAATGAGGAGTACGCAACGGGATCATCACTACAGTTGGCAGCGCGAACTAGGGACCTTGCAAAACTGGCGGCCTCATCTCTCAACGCGTGGATAGCAATTAGGACTTGCTGATCTGGGGAGACATGTTGCAAGTGCACATAGGTCTTAACGTTGGCCTCCCAATTGTCAAAGTTTTCCTCCCTCTTCCCACTGTAGGAATCGGGGAACTTGACTTTGACAGGCTCCCGGCGAGGAGGACGTGCTTCCTCCTCCTTGGGAGCTGCCGCCTTGACGCCTTCAATGGCGCCAGCGCAGAACCGCTCAGTCTTGTCGAGGCGGTGACCCACCTCGACTCCAACGGCGCCTACCAACTCACGAGCAAAGTCTCGAAAGCCCAACCGTATCGAGCGCACAGCTATGTCCTGACTTCTGCTAAAGTCATATTGGTCTGCTTGAACCCGTGCCAGGCATGCGACGCTCCGAGCTATGACTCGCATCTGATTCGGGAGATCGGGTTGGGCGGCTAATTGCGCCTCTATGTTCTTCACTTCCTCTAAGGCCTCTGCCGCCTCCGCTGCCTTGTCAATTCTCCTCTTCTTCTCCCTCATCACCGCTAATTTCCATTCCATCCTCTTCTCGTCTTCCAATGCTTGACGTTGAAGAGGGTCTTTCTCTGCATCCCAAGCCTTCATGGCAGCTTCTTGCTGATCCTGCGGGATGTACATACTAACCTCTTCCTCTTCTCCCACAGTCAGGTTGGCAACCCATTCAGATATCCTCTTCTCCAGGTCTCCACCGATACTACTACTGCGCTGCCCACTACTCCTTTGCAGTGGCGGTCCTTCCTCTTCTTCATCCATCTCCTTCAGCTTCTCTTCTTCTTCCTTTTTCAACCTCTCTTTCTCCCTGGCCATCTCTTCTTCCATCTTCTTTAGTTTGGCCGCCTGTTCCTCTTTCAAGGCCTTCTTCTTGGCCTCCTTCTTCTCCTTCCTCTCCTGCAGGATGGCGGTCATCCTCTCCTCCTCCTCCTTCGTGTATGGTTGGGTGGCGGTACCACCTCGAGTGGGCCCTACTCTACACGCAAAGGTATGCCAAAATCCCAGAGGAAAGAGGAGACGCCAGAGGGTCCCCCAGAGGGAGAACCCAACCAGCAACCCATACATCGGGTAGTCGTCCATCGTGGTGTTGGTGCACGACAAGGGTCCCACTCCTCACCACGTAGCCCTACCCGGACACACTAACCTACTACTGACTTCCTAAGGACCCCTGGATAAGACCCTGTCAACTATGGTCACTAACCCAAGACTTATTCTAAGGCTGTCACTACTGAACCCAAAGCTGATCTGGAGGCACTTAAGGAGATCCCCCGTAACTCCTCAAGAATTCTTTAACGTCGCAGACAGGACGATGTGATCAGCTTGGTTCTTCCTGGCGATTTCAGCCCACAACTCAGCCGTTCCAGCCTACTGTGCCACACCGAGCAGCCCGCCGGTCTGTACCGGTCCTTGGAGGGGTTCGTATCCCTCGGGACAGTCGAGTCTCCAGACACAGATCATCAGCCTTTAATAGGTCCGGTAGGGGAGTGGCTCAACCAGGCCTCAACACTTAAAGACGACCCTCGTTTCAGCCTACAGCCCAGAGTTCAGACCCTCTATACTGAACTCAGTAGACCTGCCAGATAGTACCGGTCATTGGGCTAGACGAGTTGTTTAATGAGCGCTCACCGCTCATGCCCAGGTCTCCAAGTGCCAGTGTAGAGCTTTGGTCCTACTAAGCCCGTGTAGGTTTGGCAGCAAGGCCCTATCCTTCATCCACAGAGTCCTAGCACCTAA